CATTGAATGGGTTAACCTGTGCAGAAATGAAACTTTCTATGTTTTTTACCACTTTTATTTGTAACTAACGTTGCTGTAGTTACTTATACAATATATAAGTTTGAAAATGTCCTTATAGGACGAAACTTTCTGTGTTTTGTACCACTTTTATTTGTAACTAACGTTACTGCAGTTACTTATACAATATATAAGTTTGAAAATGTCCTTATAGGACGAAACTGCAGTAACGTTACAAATAAAAGTGGTAAAAAACATAGAAAGTGTTAGTAACGAATAAAAGTGGTGAAAAACATAGAAAGTTTTATTTCTCTTCTCTTCATTATGATTTCCTACCACGTAGTAAGGGCTACATCCAACAATTAATTGATTAATTAATCATCATCTTCATCTTCATCACGAGTCTCTGTGATCAGCTGTGATGGCGTCATGGCAACAGAATTCAGAGCGGGGACGAAGTGAGAGAGTAATAGATAGAGAAAAAGTGAAAAAGAAATAGAAACGCGGAGAGGGAAATATAGGCATCACGCAGCTGCACCCATTAAAGTTTCTCGACGAATTTTTGCTATTTCGGCTTGCGGAAGTCGTCAGATTATATATTTTTCAATATCCTTGAATTATTTTCTTCAAAATAAAAAAATTAGCTACGCTCGAGAATGTCGAGATGACGTTTTTTTTACAACTTGCTGCCCTCCCCTTTCTTTGCGTCACTCTCAAATTGTCAGATAACTGGAATATACACTTTTTAGCATGTAATCAACTCACCCTACCTTAATCTGACGTTCTCGAGAATTTCTGATGATCAATTTTGTTTTACTAATCTGATCCTCTATCCTTCACGGGCGGCCTTATATATGGGGCTCATATTTGGTGGAGGTACTCAACCGGGTACAAGGTATCCCCCTGTATATTAATCTGCCGCGTTTCAGTAAATCCCGAAATCCCCACTTACAAAGTCCATCTTTGAGAGTCACTTTACCACAAATAAGAATGTTGCAATCAGCTGTACCATTTTATTCTGAAAGAGTTTGGTAATCAACGTTCATAATCCACTGATCGGAAAACTATGGTTCCAGGGGTAAAAGAAATCTATTCATGATTGAACCCGATTCATTAACAAAACATGTTACGTTCAACTGATCAGTATTCAAAAAAAAGCATCCAATGTGTATTAATGAAACCTAACTTCGTTGAAGTGGCTCTATTGATAGTGTGTCTGTCTCAAATTCGACAAAATATTTTTCTTGGGAGAATTTTTCTAGTTGAGGTTAGGTAGATTATCGAGTTGACTCTGCTTCGGGTCTACGATAACCATGTTGAATCCTAGATAGCTTGGGAGGTGTTAACATAGTTTAATGGCCACATATGTTGATCCCGTTGGCACGAAACCAATTTAAATTTTTTTCTACCAAGCAATGTGAATTGATACTTCATCACACTAATAGGTTTATTGTAACAAAATCCTGACTTGCATGTTCCTTTCTATTCACGGTAATGCATGGAGTCAAATAATAGGACTTCATTGGCAGTCCCTCAGTGTTGAATAATCCCTACGACAACGAAAGCCTCAATATACATTTCAATTGAAAAATTACATTGTGATTATCATAAATGTTTCATATGATAAAAACTGCTCCATTTCGTTTCTTTGTTATTATATCTTCTGTTTTTTATATTTCAGAGAGGCTTGATATAATATGAGAATATATTTTTATAACTATAAATTTGAGATATTTTCTCGTGTATACAACACATGTTATATTTCAACTACATATTTAGAACCGACCTTTAACAAGCTATTATTCAGTTTATATTGGGTCTACTGTCACCGCAAACTAACCTTCTTTTTTTTGTTTTTTTTAAAAGCTACATTTTTATCTAGGAATGGTTTTCTATGAAATACTTACTTTTTTGAATAGTTTATGGGTTAAAAAATGGACACTTCCAACCGCGAATCACTCGAAAAGTATTGATTTTTATAAAATACTTTACATAACAAAAGTTGGTTGAAATTATTCAATCTATGTATGTTCATTCTTCACTCCCGAGAAACAATGGCATACATCATCAGGGCGAAACTCAAACTCAAAGTTCTAAATTCAAACTCGGGACTCCGACTCAAATTTGAAATGCTGACTTTGAACTCAACTGGAAATTTTGAATTCAAACTTGAAATTTGAACTCAAAATTCTAACTAAAAACTCAGAATTTCGACTCAAACTTGAAATGCTGACTTGAAACACAACTCGAAATTTTGAATTCGAACTCGGAATTCTGGCTTTGAACTCAAAGTTCTGACATTAAATTTTGAATTCCTTCTTTCAACTCAAAATTCTGACTTTGAAAAACTGTGAATTCTTACTTCAAACTCTGAATTCCGACTTCCAATTTTAAATTTTGACTCACGATTCTGAACTCGGAATATGAACTTTGAACCCGAAATTTCGAATTTCACCTCTAAATTCCTAAATTGAAGTCAGAATAACGTGAGATCAATATGAATTCGATCAGATTAGGTTCGGATAAGTTATAAAAAAATACAACATACAGTTCATTGTATGATTTTCAGTATAAATTTATAGTGAAATTCTTACAATAAACTGTATTAATTAGTTTTAATATAGATTTTCGTCAAGTATCGGCAACTTCAATTCAATTATAAAAAATTATGTTATAATTCAGTATTCAAACTCGGAATTTCGACTTTAAACTCAGAATTATGATTTCAAACTTTCGAAACTAACTTTGAACTCAAAATTCTTAGTTTAACGTCGAAATTCCCAGTTTGAAGTCGGAATAACGTGAGATCAATATGAATTCGATCTGTTAAAGTGGTTAGGTGGGAATGGATTATCAAAAATAACTCAAAACTCGGAATTATGATTTCAAACTCGGCATACCAACTTTGAACTAGAAATTCTTAGTTTAACCTCGAAATTCCGAGTTTGAAGTCGGAATAATGTGAGAATAATATGAATTCGAGCAGTTGAGTTGATAGAGGGAGATGGGTTATAAAGAATAACTTCATAAATTCGAATATAAACTTGGAATTCTGATTTCTAACTTGAAATTCTGACTAAAAACTAGGAATTATGAATTTAAATTCGGAATTCTGGTTTTAAACTCGAAGTTACGACTTTAAATTTCAAATTCCTTCTTTAAACTCAAAATTCCGACTTTGAACAACTAGGAATTCTTACTTCAAACTCTGAATTCCGACTAATTTTAAATTTTAACTTTGAACTTACGATTCTGAACTCGGAATATGAACTTTGAACTCGAAATCATGAAACATTACGTCATAATTCATCATTCAAACTCGGAATTTCGACTTTGAACTCAGAATTATGATTTCAAATTCTCAATACTAACTTTGAACTCGAAATTCTTAGATTAACTTCGAAATTCTGAGTTTGAAGTCGGAATAACGTAAGATCAATATGAATTCGATCAGTTAAAGTGATTAGGTGGGGATGGGTTATAAAGAATAACGTCATAATTTTGAATATAAACTTGGAATTCTGATTTCTTACTTGAAATTCTAACTGAAAACTAGGAATCATGAATTTAAACTCGGCATACCAATTTTGAACTTGAAACTCCTAGTTTAACCTCAAATTTCCGAGTTTAAAGTTGAAATAACCTGAGATCAATATGAATTTGCTAGAATTTCAAATCGGAGTTTTGAATTTGAAGTAGGAATTACTGATTTGAAATCTGAATTCCGACTCTTAATTACAGATTCCGGTTCTTAAATATAAATTCCGAGTTTAGAAATAGAAATTATGACCTCATTTTTTCAAACGTATCCCAACCTAATCCTATCAAATTCATATTAATATCACGTTATTCTGAATTGATTCTCGAAATTTCAAGGTTGAACTCGGAATTTCAAGTTTGAATTTGTTATTCAGAGTTTGACATCATAATTCAGAGTTTCAAGTCAGAATTTCGAGTTCAAAATCAGAATTCCGAGTTTACATTCGAAATTATGACGACAACCCATCCCCTAACTAATCGATCTCACGTTATTTCCACTCCAAATTCGGAATTTAGAGGTTGAACTAGTGTTTTGAATCGTAATTCCGAGTTTACAGTAAGAATTTTAAGTTTGAGTCGGAATTCCGAGTTCAAAGTTAGAATTCCAAGCTGATCAAACCCGGAATTTTGAGTTTGAAGTTGGAATTCAGAGCCAAAAGTCGGAATTTCAAGTTTGAAATTCAAATTAGGATTTCCGAGTTCAAAATCGGAATTTCGAATTTGAAGTCGGAATTCCTTGTTCAAAGTCTGAACTCAAAGACAAATTGAATTTAAAAATAGTGTCGTTTCTATGCTTCCGTACTTTTCTGATTCCCCAATCGACCGGACGGCCGGCCAATTGGGGAATCGGCCGATATGCCAATCGAGCCGAGCTATATATGGAATATGATTTGATTTTCTAACGCTTCGTGTTTCCAACAAAAGTTTAATTTGGTTTTACTCTTCCTTTGACTACCGACATATGACTGCCATTGCGAATAGTTCCTGCAGTAGCTCTACTTATTTTTCAGATTGCTTATTATGGAGAAGGGTTGGATGCAGGTCAATGTGGATTTACGATCCAGAGAGTAGACGACAGAGATAATGGAAACGTCAAGTGTACACTTGGAATCCCTAGCGAGCCCACGGAATCTGTAGGGATCATGCAGCTTATTGTTGCAAGTAAGTAAAAAGTGATTTATTTATAAATTTTTTGGTGTCTGAAACCCTTGTATGAATGGTACAACGTTATTGAAGTTTAATTTTTGTTCGGACAAAACCACAACAAAACTGCAACTGTTTCGATGTCGACAAGACAAAAACTTGTTGAAATAAGACTTTGTGTTGCGGGCGGCTGTTTACAGATATTATGAATAAGTACAATGTGAAATAAAAGTTAAACCTAAATTCAATGGCATTCTCCCCTTTTTTCTTCTCTAAATATCAGAATGAAACCGGAAATTTTTGATAATTTCGTACACACAGATAATAAAGTTCATAAAATATTAGTGATTATAACATTATCAAATATGTAATGATTGTGTAATTTTAGTATACGTTTTTATTGAATCAGTAATAATAAATTTGTTATTTACAGAAGCGCCAAAAACTCCCGAACTGGATATAAGCAGGGGAACTGATTCATTGAGAGTATATAAAGTCAACGACGTCCTAGAAGCATCTTGTATTGTTAGAGATGGTCGACCTGTAGCAAATATCAGCTGGTTTTTAGGTATATTATGTGATACATTCAAAATTGTTCCGTATTCAAATTGTACCGTTTTAGATGATGAACCAATAAACGAGAGTATCTTGAAAATGCCAACGGTGGTAGAAATGGCTAAGGAAAATTTACAGTCTAAGCTGCAGAACCTGACCAAAGTTCTTCAACCCACAGATAATGGTCGATCCCTTAAATGTGTTGCTTTTCATCCGGCTTATCCAGGCGGTCGTCAAGAAACCAAGAGACAATTAGATGTGAAATGTAAGTGATATGTGGTGTATTTTCAGCATAAACCTATATAGTTATTCACAACAAAATGAAAAGAATTCCTGACCGTCTGCATTTTTTCTTAAATTCAAAATGTCAATCAATAGGCAACTGCATCTGCAGAAAAGCTGAAACTCCCCGAAATGTAGTTACCAGTCAGAAAGTAGATTCCTAGCATAAACTTGTATAGTTACCACAACGAAAAATAAAATTTCTAACCGCCCGTGTATGATCTTTTGTCAGTCAGTGACTAATGATTATCTTCACAAAAATTGAATGGAACTGATATGAAAATCCAAAAACTTGCTGAAGTCAGTTTGCGGCTATACACTAGACTTCTCAAGCAGGACCATTGAAAGCTGTCGATCAGTAAAATCAGTCTTGCTTGAAGAAACTATTCCTTTCATAGTGAGAATAAAAGAACTGTAGTAGTAAATTTTCAGAACACAAAATGAAAATTCGTGAGAGAGTATTTAATGAATGGAGTGACATTTGTATTTTTGCAAGAAATGTCAAATTTTCATTCGGATAAATCAGAATGTTAGCAATCGGGGTTATATTTCATTATATACTTTATTATCTGAAGAAAAAATCTTGTTGACAAAGCTAGTAAATAAATATAAAATAAATACATAAATGTCCTATGAATATAAAAATATAATGTATACACTAAACTAAAGTATAAAAAACAGCAAACAATGGTTGAAACAAACATACACACAAAACATGCCTTCCTCAAAATGATCGGTATAGAACTCAAACTGTATCAGGATCTACTTACTACTCCAAATTCCTTTAATTATTTATCTGTATTGATTGATATCAATATTTGTCTTTTTTAGTTATCACACCATTGTGAAATAAGGAGTAATTGATCAGAGAGTTGCAAGGGATAGGTAATTTCAAATTGTTTTGTATGCTCTGACGAGTTGTATAGTGATAGGTGGTAACCTCAAGTTTCACCAGCCGTTTTTAATAAACCACACCATCTCCAGAATGAAAAGAGCTACAACCGTCAAACATTTTTATCTCCAAACAATTGCCTTTATGAGTCACGAGGTTTAGCTTTACACAAGTAATCAAGTATCGTATAGTTCTCTTCTGTAATACAAATACAGACTCCAGCAAATTAAGGCTACATACACCCCAAAAATGTACACTGTATCTCGTACCTTAAGTGAGACTCTACCAAAGCGTGATACGTTGTTTTCGTAGTATAAACTCCAGTTCTCCAGCAATAACTCTCACTGCATAACAACCGGTGCAAATTTTGCTTTTCATCTTTCTGATGTGAGTGTCAAATTTCAGTCCACCATATATGTACAATATGCTCACGAAATCGTTAATATACAATAAGAACAAAATGGGCCCGAGAACCGATCGCTGTGGTACACCAGTATTTATTTCAACACTTTTTGTAGATTTAGTTGTTTTTATAATCTGACTGCGACCTTTGAGATTGTTTTTTATGCATGCATGCATGCATGTTGTTTCTGAAAGAAACAGCATGCATCTAATGAGCAGAAACATCCCGAATGCAAATATGAATATGATGAAAATGTGAACGTACCTGCACCTGAAACATTTTATGTAGAAAAAGAAAACAAACCAATAAGACAAATGATTGAATATAGGAACGTAATATTTTCAGAAAGAAAGCAAAAATCTAGAGTACGAATCAAATATATTTCTACCTAAAAAATCAATGACTACAAATGTATGGAAACTGACGCCATTCAACTCAACAACGGTACAGAAGGTAGGAACGGTACGACTACAAAAACACAAAACAAACGACTGATCTATGTTCAACAAAAACTTACAAATCGGGATTCCAATATACAAGGTGGACCAAGTGTAATAATGAATAAGACTGCCGCTAAAATTATGAAAATTCAAACTCAAAGTAAGGTTGATGGAATTATAAACTCAACAGATGGAAGAAGCATATCTAGTAATCCAACAATTGTCACTGAAAAAAAAGAGTTTTTAAAAGTGACTTCACTTCGGTAAAACATTGGAAACGTAAAACAAAGAGAGTTGGAAATGGTGAAGGTAATGAGGATCATAGGGAAAATGATTTATTTGGTTATTTGTTTATGAAGTTCCAGATAGTGTCAGGGAAAAAACCATGAAAAACTATTAAAAACATACAAAATCTGAAAACTTTTGTTCAAAAACTGAATACTCAGAATTCCAGATTGAGTAACCAATCTTTCAAGATTGGCATCAATCTACTACTGCATGGTGGCCAAAATTTATTTACTTCAGTCGTTTCGATTTTAGAAAAGAGCAATATTTTCCTGATTCCAGCTTCTCATTCCAAACTAAGGAATCAAATATAACACCGATGCATATAAACATAAAAAGTAATTCTACCGAAAAACTACTAACTCTAAATTTTTACTATATAAAGATATTCTAAGAATCTTGTCTATTACTGAATAATGACTGGACAACATACATTTTACAGAGTAAAAAAGAAAAAGGAAGTGTTCGTTCAAATAAATATACAATCAATAATAAAAAAGAGTGTCAATAATTGCTAAGGAGAATCACTAAATTTGATGAAACCTGGATGAAGAAATCCAAGCCTATGGAATTAATGGCTAAGTTTAAAAAGCGGTATCTGTTTATATTTCAGAATCATGTTTGATTAATGAGTCTTTCATGTTGGGCTTATTTCCTGACATTAATAGGAATGCAAAGTAGTTCCTATAATTATTAAAATGATAATTTACGAAGTAATTTGAAAAACTGTAGATTGCCTAAATACATGGGACTGGAGAACTAAATAAAGTCATTTGACATGTTACTATCAAAACAAAATGAGCCGTGAACTAAGCTGGGAGGCTCATATTATTAGCAGGGTGTCTTCAAAAGTGAGTACGCACTAGAAAAAAACTTCAAATATCATGAAAATGTGAACGTACCTGCACATGAAACATTTTATGTAGAAAAATCTAAAGCAAATGAACTTCAAACGTTCAAACCAGTCTCTATATACCTACACAGTAGGTTGAATGGACTGACGCCTATCAGAAAACAACTACTCCCCTGGCTAATACCACGAAGGGCGTTGGATTATATCATTGACTTTAGGTCGATGATGGTCACTATCTTGGTTACTATCAATGGTTACTATCAAAACAAAATGAGACGTGAACTAAGCTGGGAGGCTCATATTATTAGCCGGGTGTCTTCAAAAGTGAGTAAGCACTAGAAAAAAATTTCAACTCTCTTCTTCCAGATCTTTATTAAAGAAACGTGGGAAACTTTTAACGAAAAGAAGAAAGAAACTTCTAACAAAGATTTAAAGATCATACACGGATCAAATATCGAAAATGTTGTTGAAATTGATGAAGAAAATCATGTGATAGTCACAGCCCTCAATATTAATATTAGGATATCCCGCCTGGTAAATTTAAATTTCCCGTATGAATAACATGGAAAAGCTTGAGTTCAGAATTCCATAACTCTTTTATGGTTCATCAAAAAGGCTAGACCAAATAATTTTCTTGTATAAAATGGAACGCTATACAAAAATGCTCTCTTATAATTTTTTGATAAATTGACGCGTTTCGAAGTTATTCAACTTCGGTCGGTAGCCGGGCGGTTAGACGTGGGTGCTTTAAAGTTAAATAACTCCGAAACATGTCGGTTTATCAAAAAATTATGAAATTTACCAAGCGGGATATTTTAATATTAATATTGAGGGCTGTGGTTTTGACAGGATTTTTTTTTTAGCATTTCCAACAATATTTTCGATATATTTATGAAGAAAAAATAGTCGATTTTTTCAATCAGTCTATTGCAGATACAAATTGGAAGAAAAATGTACACTCACCGTATTCATTGGGTCAAAACACAAGTCGTCCATTTGGATGATTCAGAAATTGATTACTGTTGGAAGTGTTTCATTGAAAGAAGAATTTTTTCTGAAAATCGAGATAGGTTCCATAGACTCGGAATATTTTATGACGATTGTTTAAATATATGAAAGTAACCTTGGTCTGTATATAATGATGAAAAACGGCATCATTCCTAATGCTCGAATGAAAAGTATAGCCAAAGAAAACATCCCAATTTGAATGCAGCATAATGAGCTCTGAAATGGTAGAAAACAATTTGTCCCGTAAAAACGATTCACTACATAAGTAACGTCTAATAAACAAATAACTACTCTCTACTAGAGGTTTTCCTTGAAAAAATTACAACAATGTATCTTCTACAAACCTATCAGTCTTATAATGAATCGTGAATCAATATTCCGGAGATATGATCAATCAGACACCAGTTTGTCTTTACAAAACCCCATTTCCAGGATGTAATTGAACGGCTTCGCGTCAAAGGAATGGGTGGAGACTTATGAATCGGCGGACCTCTAATTTTACAACGTTTCTCAAATCAACTGTTAACGAAATATAACCAATATCCATTGAAGAAATGACTAAAAAACAGAAAGCAAACCAAGAATACACTCTGTCTATCAGGAGTACCATCCCATTACCTGTTTCAGTTTCACCTACATCAGATATTAACTCTGCCAACCACCAATTGCCATAATCTATATTTCAAAGAAAAATGTGTGTTTGTACTTATGTAAATATGTGCTGTACATTTAGTTGTTGTGTTAGTACCTATTGAAATAATTTTTTCTATCATTATTTTGAAGTTTATCCCTGTTATAAACATTATCGTTTTTTGGGATTAATAAAGATCGTTTTATTATTATATTGTCATAGTAATACTGATTTCTTACATATAATCCCGACCTGATTTGATTGATTTCAAATCAAAATTAGTCCGCTTTGTTTACTCACTATGTACTGTAGCAAATATCCATCAATCATCATGGAATTAAATTGCATAATTTATTATCTTCATATTCAGTTACTGGTGATGCCTACACCTGGAATGACCCTATGAATTTCCTTTCTTTTGTTCCTATAGAAAACATAAATTTCTCAACTGACAGCTGAGTCTCACCCTTT